CATAAATACTTTGCAGGTAACTGAAAAGCATGCTCCATGTGCAACTTAAAAAAAAAAAAATATATATATATATATTTCCTGCAAGGGGGATTTACATGCACTTACTGGGAGGTGAGCCTCTTTGAGTAAGCCCTGGTGAAGAGTGGCTGCAGTGTGAGCATTGACCACTACAAGAAACAATGTTTATTTTCATGCAACAGGGGGCAAATATTTCACTGAGCTTTGAGTCACCTCAATTTATCATAAATCTTATATTCTAGTCAGTAAGTATCACTGAGAGCATTTCAGGAGCACTCAAAAAATATCCCTTTTAGGAGCTGTTGTGTACAGCTGATGGACAATGTTGACTACAAACAATAAGCACAAGTGGGATCTGCTTGGGTGGACTGATGCTAAATGCCGAATGTGATGAGTTTGTATAATGTTTTGCCTTCTCCCTTGCAAACAACTGAACCTTATCAGCAGACTGGCCACTTACAAGAGCTTCTGAGATAAGGAGATCAGAATATCACTTTTGCATCCTATATGCATGTGCACTGGACAGGACATGTCAAGTGCTTTGGTATCGAAAATAAATTCCAATCTGCTGGGTTGTGCTCCCAACGGCTGGCACTGATTTAAAAATCTTTATTTCACACACAGTCATCTGAATCTGTACCATGGGAACCCAAGCCTACAATGCAAGCTGTTTTACAAAAGGGTCGCTGATAACATTCACACATACATGTGTAAACATTGACCCTTCAGACTTTGCACGTCCAGGTGATGTTTCAGTTATACAGAACTGTGATCTTTCAATTGTTCCTATGATGAAGGGACTGAATTTCCCATGACAAGCTTTGGCTTTGATACTATCTGACCTGAATACATTTTCTTGTCTAAGCCTATTTTGTACAACCTTAATTTCTTTGTTTGATAAGCGGTGGTCAGGCAGGTGAAATACTCTCCCAAAAGTCACAATAGATATGGTCAAGTTACAAGTTGAAGTTGATTGCTAACCTGTGATGGTTACTTTTTGTTCATTAAAAAACAAAACTATTTTAAAACCATCATTTTAAATTATTGAGCTGTTCAATTTACTGATTATTACCAAAAAAGAAAATTCCCTACCAATGAGGGCCATGTCCTACTAGCGATACTGTTACTGACAGAAACTCACCAGTCAAGAGACTACTCACCTGATCCCACAGTGTCACTTCCTAGCTCAGGCCTATCTATTCAAAACATTGTAGAATCTTGGTTACCAGTGAGAGAGAAGCCATAAAGTGGCACCTTGCTGGTTTATATTTATGGGAGTACTTTTCCGTATCAACACAACTAAAGCAAAAGAATAGGTTCTCTACACATTCGTGACATTTTGGTTGTACTGCTGTTACTGCTGCACAAAGGACAATCTGAGAAACAGTAGAAGCCACAGAAATATGGTAGGGTGGATGGTGGCCCTGGTTGGAGGGTGGTTCTTCTGTTGTTTGACATCATTAGGGATTGCATAGCATCTATTATCAAACAGCCTGCATGGACATCTTTGTACCCAATGCCTTATCTAACCCCTGTGATAAATAAGCTGTTAGCTTTAGTACAAATATGTTTGTCTGTAGCCCACTAGCTAAATGTATAAGTGTGTGTTGTAGTTTGTTGCTCACTGTGTTTACTTACTATAAGGTGACTTGCATTTTAGATTATTTAATGGATTCATTAATATAACGCCAACAAATTCAGAAACTCTTAAAACAGTATACGTCCCAATGTCACCAACATTTACATCATTAATTAATCTAGTCTGAATAACAAACACTGCAAAGTTAAAAATTACCTGGGTGCTAATAGCACGGGACCCATCTGTGACCTGCACAGTAAGGTTATAAAATGAACTCTTGCTTGCTTGCAAAGGTTGAGCTATGACCAAACCGCTAGTGGTCTTGTCGATGTCAAAATCCAGCTCGTCGTTTCCACCTTTGGTAAAGAAAGAATAACAATAGTTGGCACTAAATGAAATGTTGTATACAGTTTAATGTTAACTCTTCCAGATTAATTCCTTGTCTCCACTGACCTGGGCTCTCTTTTAATATCAGATCATGCTTTCAATGTTACCGGATTACACCCTTGTCACAAGGTCAGGTCTCCAAACTAGTAAGACTAACCTTTCAGAGAGACAGCTGTTTGTCTAAAGCTGGCCATACCTGTGGCAACTTCCAAGCAACTTCAATCACTTTTGATCAACTGGGAAGCGAAAGTGGTTGCCTAAAAACAATCTTCCATGCATGTATTTGATCAATTACCTAAATCTGATTGATCAAACTGAGCTATAAATTGACAACTTCAGTACAGGCTATTGAAAAGAATTGAACGGAAAAACCATGGCAACTCCATCAAATGCGAACAGAATTTTATGTTGAGTTCAATCAAGGCAATTTCTATCCCATTTCCCTCCTTTCAATTTAAATTACTAATTTCCCACGTCTGATCATTGGGGATTTTGAGCACAACTCAATCAAAAGTGGTTGAAAGTGCTAAAATGTGCCACATGTATGACCAGCAGAAGAAAAATACTTCATACCAAGGTCAAACATCACCAAAAAAGTAGAGTTTTGGAATTTGATTTTTTTTTCACCTGTTTTCTGCTAAACAATCTGTGATATCTATTCTGCCATCACAATCTTTTCCCACATGCTTTAAACGTACATTTCAACAAATGGTTGGACATTGTTTGCAGAAATTTTTTCCAACTGTTCTGATTAATCATACCCTCAATTCTCTTGTTCTTATGTGATCTTTGCTTGCAAAGAAAAGCTCAGATAGTGGGCAGTACTGATTGTACTGAAACAGCATTTGTGGCTGTGTATTGATACATTTGCATAAGCCAGGCAAAACCCTGCATCAGCAATATTATGATACATTACTATTTAACTATTTTATTTCAAAGAATATTAAGAAAATGTAAAAGCAAAACCACTAGTTAATGGCTAAAGAGCTAAACTCAAACCTACCTGTGATGTCAAACCAGCACGGACTGTACAGCTCTGTACTTAATAGTCCCAGCATGTGGTTCACTGGATCAGTTTCCATGACTTGGAAGGTAAAATGTGGTTCATCAAATGTTAGCGGCTCATCTGAGGGTGCTGGGTTATGGATCCATTGGATGTGCAGCCTCACAGTGGAAGATCGAGAGGGGCTTCCACCATCTGTTGCTCTGACCTGCAGTCACAGAGTGGTTTTTGGTTATGGTTACCCTAATATATAGGTAGGTACATCAAAGGTTACAGCTAAGTTACCATTAGCAGCATATGCTAACTCTGCTTTTAGGACTAGAATAATCAGTATATGTAGAACAATTAATTACTTTATACAAATGTTGACTTTTGGGAGCTCCATAAAATTAAGCTAATGATACTTTCTAGTGTCCTCCTCACTTACTGTTAATATGGTGTAGCTCCTTGTTGGAAATGCTGCTGTGGAAGAGATGACACCCGTTGTGGGATGAATTGTGAAGACAGCTGTCTCTTGCTCAGTAATACTATACGTCACTTGGCCGTTTATTCCTTTGTCCCTGTCCATCGCTATGAGCCTATATATTGAAACTGGTTTAGGAGATTCTGCACGTTCTGGGAGCTGGACGGTGAAGAGTTTTTGGCAGAATGTGGGAGTATTGTCATTCACATCTAACACCTGTATGACAACCCAAGAGGTAGACTGTAGAGGAGGTGTGCCATTATCTGACACTGTCACCTGTGGAGGAAAAAGCATGTAGATTAATGAGCAATGTTCTTTTACAGTGGTTGCCTTACCAATAGAAATAATGCAGGTTGAAAACATTTTCAGTTGGAGTACTCTAGATGGGCATAAACATTCAACCATCTATACATTTCAGAAACATGAATGAGTGAAGCAAATACAGATGAGGAGCATAATAGATTGCACATGCTTGAACATTTCAAACAATCCTGATTAATTCAAAGATATTCTCATATATGTAGTCTAGGAAAAAGACAACCTGACAGGAAGTTCCGACCAAGGTCTTTTTTGATTTCATTTGTATGTTGTTCTAATGCCAATGTACCACCCAGTTCTGACATGCTTATGGAGTGGTCTGAATGTTTTAAAGTGTTACGATCTTGTTGATGCATATTTTGAATATTAATAATTGCTATCCAATGACCATGGTTATATTCATTTGGTTCAAGAGGAAATTCCATATTGATTAAGTTCTTATTTAAGGTCGCAATACCCATGTTATAAACCCTCCATCTTCAAAAGTCAGTCAACACTACTTCATGTCACCATGACTCAATACTCATGGTTGGCAAAACTAGTTGAGCTTTGTAATATGTTGGTGATGCCAGGAAGATGATGCCGCTTTGATAGGCATCTGTAGAGAGCAGAACACCACAACTTCAGCTGCCTTCAGTTTCCACAGTAAAAGGCCTAGCATTGGTGACATACCTGTAGAATGTGTTCTTCCTTGTTTTCCCGATCTAGCTGTTTCTCAGTTGTAGAAATTAAACCTATAAAGGAAACACAACTTTACTTGTTAATAGTCCATATATAATGTATATACACACACCACAGAACTGCACCTTGTACTATGTGCATCCAAATTGGTCACATAGCAAAAACCCAATGCAATATAAGAATATCAAAATGTTTGTGGAAAAAGCACTTTTTATAGGATCTATCTACCATAGTTCTAACAATGGTTTACATATGAATGACCACACCCACATCTTATCAGTTGAGCACCCACAATCTATTTAGCTAAATAAAACCTAAAGTTCAATTAGGCTTTAAAGTGTGGTTATAATGCTAAAAGCATGTTTGCGATCAGTCCTGTGCTGCTATTTCTTCCATATTTCTAAGCTGCTCTGATAACGATCATCCGCCAGTTATACTATTATTTTATTAAAGTGCACTGCTCTAATTTTTATGCACTAAAACTATGCTAACTTGCAAAATCATACAATATATATAATAAAGTGCAATGACAAATAAAGTGCTTCAGATACTGAAGTGCGAAAATATAAATGAAAGACACCACTATTAATCCACTTGTAACTATATAAATAAATTCAATATACCTCAATACAAAAGAACAAACAAATACAGAAGTACTTTAGTGGTGACCAGCACCAAATGATGGTGCATCTGTGCACAGCCCTTATGAGGAGGATGCTGGGATCAGGTTCAAGGTTCCACCTGGGAGACAGAGGAGGTCTCCGTGCAGGAGTCAGGGGTGCTCCACCCTAGAACCAGTCTGTGTCTGGAGGAGTGTATCACCTGTGTATCAACCCTTATGTTGGAGAAACCCCTGTGAGGGAAACCCTATGAATGTTTAAATAAAAGTGGGCAGGAAGCCCTAAAAAGAACATATAATTCTGCTAACACTAATACATATGTATCGAACACCAATACAATGCACAAAAGCTTATAAAGTATCAAGTTCTTGTGCTGGATTTCACTCTCTCCTACAGTAATCCCCTTGTGCAAAATAATATAAAATTCCACATCCCGTCCATGCACCACTTCCGCGCATGTACCCTACCTTTGGGCTCACTCACCAAAGGTTTTAACCTTTTATCTTAATTGGGTCAGAATGCGCTTTTGCAGATCTCAGCAACAGTACAAGGCTTTTTGTTTCACAATACCAAATATTTTCTTTTTGTATGCCCATACATCAAGGAAAAAATATAAAAAATTCCATAGCACAGTTCAACATTCCTTTTATGATAAAACCAGTGAAAGAAAACCCACATTTACCAGTTGCTAGCCTGCACCAAGGATGAACTAGCCCAGTACTCTCCACCTGACTCTCCACCTGGGGGAGAGCGCCCCACAAGACCCAACTGTGGCTTCATCATGCAGCTGGGTCACATGGGTCACTCTCCCTGCCATTAATGAGCAAAAGACATAGAACAGCAAGTGTCTCAGGTAAACTGGTGTGCAAGGTAGAAAGTGGCAAACATGCTGTGTAAAGTATAGGAGTTGTATGTATTAATAGTCACATTCAGTTAAAGCCAGCACACTTGGGGGTTCAAAGGGTCTCCCTTCATCAGGGCTTGGCAGATGCTGAAGAAAACAACATATACAGTGGACTAATAAGTATGATGTAGTTCTGGTGAGTAATTTCTATGTTACAAAATATAAGGATCTGGTCAATATCACTTTAAATAATTACACAGCATCTGAACTTAATGCAACATATTTAGTGCATCCCTCCTTGCACATCAATTTAGTTAGAGTTGTGAGTTCACCATAAGGGCCATTGGGCCGTCCACTTGAACTGTACTTAGTCCGGGATGTAATGCTTTATGTTCCCATTTTAACCTCTTACTGTTGATCAAGCCACTGTTTTTAGGTTGAACTTAAAGAGCATATGTATTTTTTCAGAGTATTGAAATATGGCAGAACAGTTGTCAGCTTTACAATGGACAGACTGTTTTAAAGTAAATTTGGAAAAGTTCTATTACATGCAGTTAATTGTTGGCTAAGTTGTAAGGTAATACAGCACACGCTACGCAAACTAGGTATATGGGAAAGAAAACCATTCTAACTACTGTACGATGGTTCAGCCATGGTCAGTCATGAGAGATCAATAAGCAGAAGATCTTCTGGCCCTTGTCCCTACCACATGTTATAATTATCTCTGTAATTCAATGTAAAAATTAGTGGGAATGCAAGAAAGCTCTCACTCTGAACATACAGTAGTGAAGTGTTTCTCCTTGCCCATATGAGCTGCTTCCATGGGAGGTTCAGAAGAGGAGGCCAACAGCTTTATCCTCCAGCATGGAAATCATAGTTGTAAGTGATATAATTGTTACCAGTCAGACAGTTCATTATGTATGCTAGCTGCATAGTTAATGCTACTTTAAATTGGCCTACTTTGACAATTATTTTTAGGTATGAAAGAAGCCCAGTTTACCAGTAACAAGAGAATTATGCAGGCACTATACCTGGCTGACATGCTGATACTTTGGCTTTTATACTTAGTCACTAACCTTACCAAATATAGATATAAGGAGTTCTGGCACACCACTGACACTCATGTGCAGCATCCTTGTCCCATAAATGTCATTCAAAAATATTAAAACCAAACACAGCCAGATAACTAGCATTTACAGAAAAATGCCACCAAAGACTAATATTAAACCTTTGACTGTTTTCTTCCTCAGGAGTGCCTCAGAATGTTCACACAAAGTCATGCCTCTGATGTGAAGAGGGCTCCTGATGTGAAATAGGAGCTTCTGATGTAAAGGGGGGCTGTGATGTTAAGGAGACTCTGATGTGAAGGGAACACTCCACTTTTTTTGTGTTTTTTGCATAGGGTCCCCCCTTAAAAACCAGGCCAGACCTCTATTTAATATAAGGGTCTTGTATGGATTTTAAAGGGACCACATGTCATATTTTACGGTTTTAAATTTAAGGTTTTTAAATCGAGATTTTGCATACTTCTAAAGCTGTAAGGTATATAAGCTCTGTGTAAATATGGAGATATGTAACATTTTAATAGCCCTTCCCACCCCTAATACAATCCTTAAAACAATCATTTGTGCCAGTGCTCCTACAGAGTTTTGTGGTCCCTACCAGAGCCGTAGCTAGCTCCTTTTGCACCCGAGGCAAGAACAGAAAATTGTGCCTCGCTACAGACGTGTTTGGTATGTGACATCATGCGCCCCACCTGCAGGATGGGAGCGCGCATGTGCAGAATGCACTGGAAGCCAAATCCAAAATAGCATCAAAATTTCTTTAATTTGACGAAACTAAAGAAAACATTTTTAGTTTCCGTTCATTTCGCCCAAAACAAATTTTTTGTCTTTGCACATGTCTAGTAGTGTGTGTGTTTGTGTTTCGGGGGCTTTCGTCTAAATAGACCCCTGACATTTCCCTTTTTTAAATAGAAAAAGAGATTGAGGACACAGAGTCCTCTGCCCATACAGGTGGGGGAGAGCAGCAGGGATCTGAGGAGAAGCTGGAGCCTGTGCCGCTCCTCTTTTCCCTGCCGAGCTGCGGCTGTGTTGGACGCCTGGCACCCCTGTTGCCAATGGCCCCCTGTACTCCCCAATGGCAACAGGTGCAAGGGGGCGCAGCCAGGCCAGCCCTGGCTGCGCCCCCTCTTAGCTGTGCCTGAGGTGAGTGCCTCACTGAGGTGAGCGCACGCACACACGCACACACACACACCTATGAATGACAATTGCCCAAATACTACATATGCACTGGTAAAACATTCAGGTTTTGTCTAGCAGTTCATACACATTTGTATTTGTAATATACAATATGTTATGCCGTTCAATAGTAATAATTCTAATACTAATGATAATAAAGACATCAAAACTCTTGCAGCATTAAATGGCTTTTGATGATTTATTTCCCTAACCAATGCTGATGCACTAGACCGAAAGGTGATACACAACCTTTAGCCAATTCTTTATTTCTGTACAGGTATATTACGCAGCCTTGAAAAGAAACAGCTGTGTGGGAGGGAGCCTTCTGCCTTCAGCAATAGTGAATAGCAGCTCGGCATTGTTACAGCCGCACTCCTGTTGGAACAGGTAGAAGGAGGATCAGCTGTGTATTGTTATTTGTTCAACGGAACCTTTTAGCAGAGGTTGCTGGGCTGTTTCACTGTGTGAAAGAAAGCCAGGAATTTTAGGGCTTAACCTACTTGAGGCAGGAGAGGCCATCAATGCCAAGTTAAAAAAAGTTCCATTGGTATACTGGTTTACTACTGCAAATAAAAGGAGTCTGTAGATGCACTGTGCAGGCAAGCAGAAAATAGTTTTGCCTAACCCCAAATAAGTTCCTTTGCAGAGAAAACAAAGCATGTCTTTGGCTCAAATTCACGGTAGGTTGTAATATGTATACACCACATTGAATAATTTACTTAATGCATGTGGAGTAAAGTATTTTAAGCATGCAACCTCTTGTCTACCTATACAGCCTTTAATTCTGGCCAAGCTACTTAGTATTGACTCAATGTAAACTTTTGCTAATCTCCCTATAGTCAATACACTAAATTATACCTGTCACGTATGCATGCGTACACACACACATGGCCAGTTGCATAGTTGCCAATATTCCCAGAAAACTGGAAGGAGACTTTCCAGCCATATGAAAAGTTGAAAATGTGGTTTATGTGCTACCCCCAACTTGTCATCTACCTTAGGGAGTCTGTCCTACAGAAAGAGGGATATTTGGCAGCTTACATAGCATAGTTGTTTTTCCAACTAGCATTTAAGTAACGTTGTTGTTGATATACTCATAAAGGCATTCTAAACCCTTGGTTCTCAACTGGTGGGTCGTGACCCAAAAGTGGGTCGTGAACCGGTGTTCAGTGGGCCACCGCATGACTTCAACTTTTCTAGGCAAAAGGCTCCTCTGCCTCCCGCTAGTGCAGCACTGTCAGTTCTCCTGCCAAGCAGCTATTCAAAATATGCTGCCTTGTGCAGAGTGTCAGCTTGAGGTGGGCTGGGGGGTATGGCCACGAGGGAGCTCCATACATACGTGCATTGCT